GAAGATACGATGGATGTGTAGAAGCGCCTATTGGGGTCGAAAGACCAAAGACCCCAAAACAAAAGAAAATACAGTTGATATATGGATAGTTCGCTGTTTAAGATAATCCTATTAATTGGCTAATCCATCATTTGTCTGTCTAAATTTAGACGTGATAACATGAGGTACATTTTGATTGGTCATTCTCCAGACTAGTCATTTCTCTATATCCCCATAATATCCAACCATCCAGGTGGATATATATATATATATATATATATATATATATATATATATATATATATAGGTCTTTCAATCGAATTCACCAAACAACCTGGTTGCTAACGGAATCTCACGTCAGACACAGAAGACCCACCTGACATCTGCTAAACTGGGTCATCTCTGGCGCCGATGGGCGAGATATCCTACAATCTATGGAAAGACGAGTATACTGCACTGCAGTTCATCCTGTTCAGTTATACGGCTGTGACACATGGTAGTTAAAAGTAGAAGATATGAGGCAGTTGCAGGTTTTTCATTACATATGTCTTCTTAGCATTGTTCACGTTTGTCGGAATCACCGTGTGAGCAGTATCCAGGTCAGGCGACTGGTACTAGGCAAGATAGGCAAGTCAGTAGCGAACCTTCATCGACTAAGATGGCATGGAAATGTACTGTGCATGCCGAACCACCACCTGCGTCGATGTGCTATGCCACTCACTTTTATCTTCAAATGTCTTACTACCACATAACTTTTATATCAGTCTTATCTACTACTGTGAAGTGTGGCAACTTGTGATGATGCATTTGTGTGCGAAGTTCTACGTTGATTTTGTCTGTCTGTCAGAAATGCTGTATAAGACAACATGACTGGAAATAACTTGTCAGATAACTAAGAGTAAGCATCATCATCATCATCATTATCAACATAGGACCAGGCATTACTGCGTAACGGTCCGAGTTGCCACACCTCATATCAGCACATCAAGTAAAAAGGTAGTGAGGTGAAGGATGAAGATAAGTGAATGCAGTCAAAAGAAATATAAAGTACGAGAAGAAAGGAAAGAGGAGTGACAAAATAGTGAGATTCGGTATAGCGTTGTTAAGATGAGGATAATGTGTGTATACATCTGCGCCACTGACTTCGGTTCTGAGCCATATCACCTAGGGTCTCCAACCACTGGTTCCTCTTGTCCCGTGGACCCCAACCACCTAGTCTGCATCGTCCTACATGGCTTAAACCAACAGTCAGAGACTTCATACATTGGTGCCATGTTTTAGTCTGGCCACCTCGGGCCTTTTTCCAGCCTGAACCCACCTCAGCCAACATTGTGTGACGAGGCAATCGGTGACTAGGCATACGTAGTACGTGTCCCAACCATCTCAGTCGATGAAGGTTCACAACCTCGTCGACTGACTTACCTCTTCTCCCTAAAACTCTACACCTAACTTCTGCATTACTCACATGGTGACACCACGGAATACGTCCTATACTACGAAGGCAACGGTGGTCAAACACCTGAAACCTTTTTGTCTTCCACTTTCAATGGCCATGTTTCACAGCCATACAGTAGAACAGAGCGGACTGCTGTGCAGTACACGCGACCCTTAATAGACAAACGAATATCACGGTGGCGCAAATTGGCAAAAGCCAATCGAGCCTTTTGTATCCGTGCAGAAATCTCATCGGCAACTAACCCACCGGGTTGATCCTACTTCCCAGGTAAGTGAAGTGGTCAACACACTCAACCACTTCACTCTCTATTGTTAACCGCGGTACCGCTGAAGACCAGTCCTGGAGCAAAAATTTGCATTTGGGTGGTGAAAATCGCATCCCAAACATTCTCAAATTCCCACTCAAAGTGTTCAGAAGACTCTGCATCTTGTCAGCGTCTTCACCTAACAGGACTATGTCATCTGCATATTCTAGATCTAAGGAAAATTCACCTGTGATCGGGTCAACGTCTTTGTAATTAGGTGACGAGAGGGAAACCTCCATAAGAATATCTATGATAAAATTAAATAAGAATGGGGATAGTGGGCATCCTTGACGGACACCACTTGATGAGTATAGCTCCCTGGACAACTCACCATAGGCTCTAACATGCCCACAAGTGTTCGAGTAGAGAGCTTTCAATAAGGTGATGTACTTACTAGGCACGCCTTTCAGTGACAGACACTGCCATAAGACTTCTCGATCAACGGAGTCAAATGCCGCCTTCAGGTCGAGAAATACAGCTATTGTCGGGCGTCTGTAAGCATGCCTATGTTCCAGGACCTGGCGCAGTGTGAATATTTGGTCGATACATCCACGGCCAGGTCTAAAGCCTGCCTGGTTTTCTCGGGCTTGCTGTTCCCGAGCTCCACTCAGGCGTCGGAGAATTATAGAACTTAGGATCTTAGACACTATGTTTGTCAGGCTGATTCCTCTGTGGTTATCACAAGAGGACTTCTCGCCTTTCTTGAAGACTGGGATGATCAGTGACTTAGACCAGTCGGAGGGGATCGTATTTGATTCCCATATACTGGCTAACACTTCCGTTAGCCTGACTAAGAGAACTCTACCACCATTCTTGTATACCTCAGCAGGTAGTCCGTCTGGTCCTGCTGCCCTTCCCCGTTTCAGGCTACCTACCGCTTTCTCAACTTCTTCTAGTGTTGGGGGACCTGTCTCTATGTCCCATTCAGGGTCCGACTGGATAGCGGGCAGCGCAATGGTGGCTGGAGGCCAGTTAAACTGTTCCTCAAAGTGTTCTGCCCATCGTCCCAGTCGCCTTCCCTGCGAGTGAATCGCCGATCCGTCCTTCTCCGCTATAACCTCACTAACTGTTGTTGACCATTTCCCCCCAGTCTCCTTAATAAGTCTAAATAACTGTCTACTGTTACCGATCGCCGCTGCCTTTTCCATCTCTTTAGCCTTTGCTGCCCACCACTGTTCACGATCGTTGCGCAGACTTTTCGTCAGTTTATTTTTAAGTTGCGCTCGCTCTTCATTGTACTCAGAGCCTGCAGGGATGCATTCACGTGCATCCATTAGTTTGGAAGAAGCTGCTGATATCCACTGGCTCTTTTTAGCCATTATCTTGGAGTCGGCTACAGTCTCCAGTGCTGCTTTTACAGTAGACTGAAGATGGCACCAAGCTTCTTCTGGATGAGTGACAGTCTTTTGTTCCGATAACTGCCTAGCCAACTTCTCACTGAACACGGCTTTGGTGTTTTCGTTGTCCAGCAGAACTCGTAGTGGTTTTGTTGCCAAATTTTTTCTACGTCCATTGAGACGCAGGCATATACGTGCTCGGACCAACGCATGATCGCTGTCCAAACACGTACTCCAGAAGGAGCGGCAGTCTTCCACCGATCCTCTCCAGCGATGACTAATAGCAATGTGGTCTATCTGTGTCCATCGCTGAGTCGAGCTCGGTGGACGCCAGGTCAGACAGTGCCTTTCTTTATGTCTGAAATTTGTGCTGGCTAAAAATAGGCGGTTATCTGAGCATAGTTGTAATAGGCGATCACCGTTATCTGTACGTTCAGCTGGGATTCCGAAAGTGCCACCTAAGTGCCTTTCTGCCTCACTCAGTCTACCCACCTGTGCGTTGAGGTCACCTGCAACAACCACTACGTCCGAACGTTTGGCTTTCGAGAGGAGGTTAGACAGTTTATGGTAGAACTCGTCCTTCACTTCATCCGAACTACAGTCAGTGGGTGCGTAAGCAGAGATTACAAAGAGACAACGGCGAGTCTCACTATTCCTTTTAGTTCTCACTGTGCCGTTCAGCCTCATAGCGCAGAGGCGACTATCAACTGGGATCCAGTCTAGTAGTGAGTTTTCTGCCCTGGTGCTTAATGCTATACCTACACCTGCAAGACCACGAGAGCTAGCTATCGAATCTCCAGAAACTCGAAGGGTGAATTTTGCAGATTCACCAGATTGGTCAGGAGAGGTCAGGTGAATAACCACACTTGGGTCCTGTATGCGTGTCTCACAAACACAGCACACATCCATGCCCGAGTTGCTAGAGTCTTTGCCAACGAAGCCTGTTGGCCAATTTGACGGAGGGTGCGGACATTGAAGGCTCCAATATGTAATTTGGAGCGTGGTTTAAGGAGACCAGGGATGCTGTTCTGTGGACTCAGATCGTTGTCGAAGGCTGCAGAGGTAGGAGAAATTGAAGATGATGCAGCATCATTAATTAAGAGACGTGAAGGAAGATTAGAAGGTAATGATGGAGGAGGAGGATAGCAGTCAGAAGAAACTTGGGTGCTGACAGAGTTGTGAGGGCGGTTGACACTTCCCGGCTGCCCACACCGTGGAAGGCTATTTCTTCTTAAGGTACCTGAAAGAGATTTGTGTGACCGCAGAGCCCATCGGACATCTGCTTGAGGCCTGTCACACCCAGCCTTTTGAGTATGATTATTTTGAATTTTTGTATTTTTGGGGCCGGATGGTCGAAAGGAAACGACAAGTGAACCAACACCGCCGGCCCGGCAGACCGTGGGGCGTGGTGGAGTGTGTTATTTTTGGGGCCGACCTTTTCTAACCCCCCCTTCCACTGAGAAGGCAGCATCAGCATGGCACTGCTGGTCATCCAAGGGAAACACCTTACTGCTGTCACACCCCATCCAGCTAGCAGCAGTACGACTTCGCCCTCAGACCCCCATCATAGTGTAGCAATTTACACTATAACGGTAACTGCTTTTCGTCTAACCACTACCCAACAGACCTTTCTGGTATGGTAGGACCTCGAGGGAACAAGCGTTCCACCAGCATAGCTCGTTGGGTCATTGTGATATGCAAGCCCGACCACCACCACCACCACCACGTCAAGGTAGCAGCTATCGGTCGGGACTAAGAGTAAGCGTCTACAATGATGATAATTAAGCATTTAAACAACTACAGAAAGCTAAGCTAGATTTAAGTATGCATAGTAACTGCTGAGATAATTCGTAATCAAAAGAGTAAGCTTGCCAGACAAAAGAATATAATTATTCTTAAATCTTCAGTAGAAAATTATACTTACTTGGACAGTGTTTAAATATTCTACAGAATATCTGTATAGAGGTATCAGTCCTGGATCGGTTAAAACAGCACATATATGGGAAAATAACAGGAGAGATGCCACGATATTAAAGCAGATGGTATTCAATATAGCCCAAAAGCTGTAAACAACAACAGAAACCACTCAACAGAAAATATAACTATGGATGTGGTTTAAAAATCTTATCATTTATTTAAATGTAGGAAACAGTAGAATTTTATTGTTATAAGTGATAAATGTTGAAGCTGTCTAACTGCGAGAATAAAATATAGACAAACAGATATACTGGAGATATCTTTTGGTAGGTGAATCACTCAGACACAGTCACAATAAGTATGTATCAACAAAGTAAATAAACTACTTATTGATACTCGTAATTTCTTATTCTTGTTAGGGATTGAAATGATCGACCTCCGTTGGAATACGGGCTCTTACGCAGACTACTCAATATTCCCTGATTATTGATTTCGTTGTATTACGCTTGGCGGCGGGTGGCAGTGGAATCCAGGACGCGCGTTCCGCCCTGCTGGAGACGTCGTCTGGAGGTGCCTGCACTTCAGTGAGTGGTGTTGTTCTCACTGACTCGAACCCAGCACCCATCGCTTTAAACGCCTAACAGAGACCGATCAATTTGACCCGGGATAACAACGGGAGATTACAAGTATCAAATAAATAATAACTGATACCCTTCAATAAAGAAGTGGCTCTCGTGCCCTAGTGAATAACGCTTTGGAGTTTGAATCAATGGGCACTGCATTCCAGTCTTAGTGAGAACGACACCACTCACTGAACTGTGATACATCTAGCTGAAGAGTCCCGAGTAGGACGAAACACGTATGCTGGATTCCCCTGCTAACTACGAACTATTAAATAGTGAAAAAACATCGGACAGTCATCAGTATACTTCACTATTACAGACACAACGGACTAAATTGGATTCTTATATACATCTTGAGAAACAGTGAGAGTAATTAATTAGTACGGTTGAACAAATCTAAGCACAATCATTTTCACTGTCAATGTATTTCCTAGTCAAGATTTGTGATAACCGTAAGGCAGGTTGTTTTATTTGTTAGCTACGTTACTTTGACTGATGATGAGGTGGGAGTAACAGGGATGAAAGTACATAAACTAGTCAGAAATTAGATGGTTGGTAACTCCAGTTATGTGGTTACATGTAAGCTACAAACCACCATTTATTTATTTTTTTTACTCTAATACAAATCGTATGTTTTAATATCAATTTTTCTCCATCCACTTCCTTTTATCCGTTATTAGAAGGTGTAGCAAGCTAAACTGGATACACTTCTACGCACAGTTCTACATCGACTTGTCTGTCTGTCGGATTAGAATATGTTAGTCGACGAGGCATAGTGTTCATTCTTATAACCAAAAGCTGATAGCAAAGATCCGGATGCATGTGTCATTTTTTGCAACCGTAAACTGTCTCATCTCTTTGATTTGTAGATGTATCGTCACATGAACTCAGCAGTTTTAGAGCTGAAAAGTACCGGTATACGATACTCATAGATCTTAAGCTTTCAAAGAATGACTAAGTAATACTACGCAACTCGGAAACTAGATGGTAGTTCGTATAACAGACAATCAGGCACACCTATTGTATAAGAGATCATGATAGGACCTGACTATCTATGCCTTAGTAGGTGCAGCAGAGTTTAAACATTCAACTCGCCGTTTAAAAGTTGAGTGTCTAGATCGATGTGTCACAACTCCACGTTAACACAACCACACGACAATTTGATTGTTAAGATGATAGAATAAACTTAAGCTCCGAAAATTTTAATTCTATTTCCAAACGACTGTGACTAGGTTTCAACAGCAAAATAACTAGTAATACTTTATAGATGGTGAACATTATGTCATTGAGTGTAGCTGATAGGTTATATCAAACCTAACACATATTGGGATCTGTTCAGTTCAGTTAAAATATGCTGTTCAAAATACAACGTGCCATTTTTATTTCCTTAATTAAGGGTTCATACTCTAGAATATGAGCCACGTTTATTATAACATCCACACCATACACAACTTATCACTACAAACCAAATACAGGTTATTTCGAGAGCACATTTAAAGAGCTGCTATTCGACAGTAAAAATAATCTCCTGTGCGGTGTGGCTGACAGTGTACCAGAATTACAATAGTGGTGATTACCACCAAATGCTCGCATACAGAAGGTCCGTTTGGCATTTGCCAACCTGCGTCATCTGTGGCGTTGATTGGCGAGATATCCAACTATCTATCAAAGGACCAGTATACTGCACTGCAGTCCGTTCTGTCCTCATGTACTGCTGTGACATATGACCGTTGAAACTGGACAAAATGAAACGATCGCAGCTTTTGATTACAGATTATCATTGCTCATGTTTAGTGGAATCACTGTGTGAGCAATGTTGAGGTCAGGAGAAGGGTACTAGCCAAGACAGGCAAGTCGAATGATGAGGTTGTGAACCTTCATCGCTTGACATGACTTGAACATACATTGTGCATATCGAACCACCGTCTATATAGACGTGCCGTCCCGGGGGGAACTTGAACCAGGTTGGAAGAGGGTTCAGGGTAGCCAGACCAACACGTGGCACCAGTCGATGAATTCCGTGATTATTGGTATAAGTCGTGTAGGGAGATGTAGACTACTTGGTTGAGGTCTCTGAGATCATTGAAATCAGCGGTTGAGGACCCTTGGGGACACGGCTGGAAATCAGTCACCATGGCGCAGATGTATTCACTTATCGAGATCTTCTAAAGCTTGAATATTTACACCAACTGTTATCTTCAGATTGTTTATTCTGTCATACTTTATCTCATTTGATATCACTCTTTTTTATCCACCTATTCTTTGTGTACTGCCACAGAGTGTGGCAACTTGAGTCGATACGCCTGTGTGCGAGGTTCTACGTTGATTTTCTCAGCCACTCACAAACAAATGCTAGTTTCAAAAGGGAAGTTAGTAGCTAAGTGATCATAGGTTTTCTACAGAAAACAACAATCATCTGCACCGATGAGATATCCAGTAACCTAACAAAAGGTGAGTGGACTGCACACTAGTTTGCACTGCCGTAGTCCATCATTCTTACTTAACTTTGGAAGGTGGCAGATATAAAGAGGCTGCTTTCCCGTGATCATAAGTGCATCAAAACACTGAAAGGAACAAAACTCATGAATAAAATGGATGCTTATTACTCCATAAACCTTTCATGGTGTGGGCAGTTGGGAAGTGTCAGTCACCCTCACAACTTTATCAGCGCTCAGTTACCCTTACGGTATTATTAACCTTCTACATGTTTGCCTTCTAATCTTTCCTCATATCTTTTGGTCAATATTCCCATGACTTTGGTTTTTCAAGCTCTTCAGCCTTTGATAACGAGCCGAGTTCACGAAACAACAACCCTCCTCTCTTGAAAACACGTTTCATACTACATATCGGTACATCCAATGTCCACAACTCCCATTGAGATGGACAACAAGCTTTGCTAGCCACAACTTTAGCATCTTGAGCAATGGATGTGCTGTGTTTGACCTTTGACAACCTGCTGTTACTACTGTCAAGTATGGTTCTACAGCTCTGCACATGTATCTGTGAGACTGGATTCTGTACTCATTAGATGCCTAGGTGAAGTTTGAGAATCAATCAATCAATCATTATCAACATAGGACCAGGCATTACTGCGTAACGGACCAACTTGCCACACCTCACGTCAGTTCATCAAATAGAAAGGTAGTGAGGTGAAGAATGAAGATAAGTGAATGCAGTCAAAAGAAATATAAAGTACGAGAAGAAAGGAAAGAGGAGTGACAAAATGGTGAGATTCGGTATGGTGTCGTTAAGATGAGGATAATGTGTGTATACATCTGCGCCACTGACATCGGTTCTGAGCCATACACCTAGAGTCTCCAACCACTGGTTCCTCTTGTCTCGCGGACCCACACAAAGAAACCAGGTAGGTTTCAGATTTAGTAATGGGTACATCAACTAGTAATTCAACTTCCCCCAGATCTAGCAACACAAGCATACTAACTGGCAGCCAACGCTAACTGCATGTCTTGATATCAATGTGACACTTGATCCCGTTGATCGAGCTCCTATGCTGAAAGCGGAGTCGGGTAAGTATATCATCCTGTTGAAGGCTACCCATTTGAACACGAGTGTATTACAGTTTAGTGATGTTATCGCATGATTTGTGCGCGTCGAGGGGTATTTTTCAACGGTATCCACCGTTTCCATTCTCACTTATTTCTATCACTGAACTGTTTATGGAAGTCTCCCTATTCGTCTGACTCAAGCAGACTAACCTTGTCAAAGGAAATTTTAGCAGACTTTTAGTGTGCAGCTGGCAGTCCTGTTGACAAGATGGAGTCTTCTTAACACGAGTGGAAACTTTAGAATGTTTGGGATGCTCTCCTCATCACCCAAATGCAAATAGTTGTTTCATGCTAATCTTTGTTGGTCCCTTTGTTAACAATAGGGAGTGAAGTGGTTGAGTGCGTTGACTACTTCATCTAATTAGGACGTCGGATCAGCTCTAGTGATCGACGAAACCTCGTCACGGATACAGAAGGCTGGAATGGCTTTTACTAATTGCTTATTAAGGACTGAGTGCACTGTACCACAGTTCACTTTGTACCACTACGAATGTGAATCATGAAAATGAAAGGAAAAGAAATTAGAGGGCTCAATGTATTAGAACACTATTATAGGCTGCGTGCTGTGGTGCCACCATGTCAGTAAAGCACAGTTTTAGGGAGAAGAAAATCAGTTGATGAGGTTATGGACCCTCATTGGTTTAGATGACTGGGACAGACATTAGGCATGTTTAGTCACCACCCGCCCCGTCGCACAATGCTAAGGTCATCTTAGGCTGGTGAACGATTAGAGGCGGCGAGACAAACATAGCATCAGTTCACGAAGTCTTCGACTGTTGCCTGGGCTGATTGGAGAAATGTATACTCCCCGGTTGGGGTTCACGTGATAACAGAAACCAGTGGTTGGGGAGCCTAAGTGTTATAGCTGAGAATCGATCTGTGATGCAGATACATTCACACACTATCTTCATCTAAGTATTGAATTTCATCATTTTGGTTCTTCTTGTTCTTCTTCTTTAGTTTTCCATTACTTTATTTCTATATCTTGCATTTTGGTACCTACTACCTTGACGTGCTGATATAAGATGAGGCAACATATCGTTTCGCAGTAATGCCAGGTCTTACGTTAGTGGTGACTGGCTACCTGACAAGATAAATGCGGGTAGCTGTTTGCATGAATTCATACGGCGATTTGCAACCATATCCATTAACGGGGATGGCTGTATGTGCTGGCAGCCTTCAATGAATGTCAGTTTATAACGAAGAATCATCGGGTCTGCAATAAGAAAAAAATCAAAAGACTACAGCCTAGCCAGAAAGGATTGATTGAAACAAGTAACTGCACGCTAATAGACAAATCAACTAAGGGCGGTGACGAGATACCTAGGCATATAAAGCATGCCGACTGTTATGGACTTCTATTTAGACCTCAATTTTTGTAAATGTCGTAAGGTAGTTCACCTGTATGCCAACAAGAAACAGGACCAATGCCATACAAATAATTAAGAATCCGCATACTTTATTCTGTAGATAATTTTGAATGAACTGAACAAAATAAGTCAGATGGAGCACTTAGGCAGGTTTACTGCTCTTGCAGAGAAACCTCTGCCATTTCTGATAAACGTAGCACCGATGTAATGCAAAAACAGTGAAGGCTGAAACCCCTTACTACAATCAAACCGTAAAACGACAATAACACTCATGATACTTTGATTTCTTAGTCTACTCTACGATACGTCATGCGCCGTATAGCATTGAAAAGTTAACCTGCACTCTCTTTCCCTGGATGTTAATTAAAGAACACCAAAAGCACTAAAACAAATGCTGATCAACCGTTGCAACTACCTCGATGGAACTCAACACTTGCCAAAAGCACAAGTGAGGACTATTCTTCTGTTGTCCGGAGATACAGTATTTAGCATGTCTCGACACTGAATTTTAATACGTTTTCTAGCGTCTAATTGCAGTACATTACCTTGGAATAGTCAATAGTCATTTTTTTACCAACTACAGTACTCCTTGGGTTTGTTTACATTCCATATTCCATGACTAGTCGTCAGCCAACAGAGGATTATTATGAACAGACGGTAATTTGAACGACCCACTAGAGTGACAGCAGAAGTTACAATAGTTGTCTCCCACTATAGTTTTTTTACGACAGCAGTTTCCACAGAAAAAACTAAATTTACACGAAGCATCATAAACTAGTGCATATGCACAGTAACGGAAATATACTTTTCAAGACGTTCTGCAGACAAACTATGGAAATGCAAGATAATACGGATTTAAACTTTGAAACGGACTTCGGTAATTTCGAAAACAAAGTGACTATCTGGGCAGACATTTATAAACCAGTGGGCTTTCAGCTTTATAAGCGTTGGAATTCTCATGTACCTGAACTTTTTGAAGGACGTATCATGCTCCTAAAAACTCACTCAACGCTTTGAAAATCCACCTTACCAAGGATTTAGAAGTAATGATCATTGCTCTTAAATAACGAGTGAAGAAGCAAATTTCTGCACTAATATATTTGTTGTTCATTGACTTTCTGAATGTTTGTTCTCCACTAAGTTCTAAAGTCACAGGTTTTCTTACAAAGATCAAACAATTAAGAAAATAACCATACTGGATTCGCACTGGCGAGAAAATACTCACCTAGTTTTCAGGACTGGTAGTACCAGATAGAAGACAACGACATAGTCGGAGTACAATACAAGTAACTGGGTAATCAGAATGCATGCAACACCACATGGGTCAAGCCTGAACACCATAACCCTTCATTACTTTTGAGTCTGGCGCCTACCAATTTTCCACCAAAAAACAACTGTCATATGGTTGTTGACAGACTAGAAAAATCTTTCGCCTAACTAACTTCCGCGTCTTCAATCCGTGAATCACTGCTCCAGGTAGAGAAGGAGGAAAACGCAGGGGTTAAAATGAGAAAATTGAGGTAGATCTGGGCAGTTTCCGTACACACTAAAGTGGCTATCCAGTCGGCGTTTAAACGATTTAGATGAGGTAACCTAGATCACATCTTCCAGGGTTTAACAACACTTAGGGAATAGAATTTGTGCCTGACATCTGACCCGCTATGTTCCAGGCTTAGATTCTGTGTGTGTCCTCTAAAATTAGTGCTGTAGCGTCACACACTTCCCCAAAATCAATATCTTAGGGTTTGACAAGATTCAACATTGGTGCTGATCTTGATGGTTTAACTGGACTCACCAAACTGAGGGCACCTGGTCAAGCATCCTCGCCATTTGGCACGCTGTCGTGTTACGTTGCACTGCTCGTAATCGACTCTAGCCAGTTAGTTGAAACGCATCGGTATTTTAGGATTTGTCCTGGTGCGAACTTGACAGACGCAAAGACCAATCACTAATTATTCGAACTTGTTATATACCCACGAATACGAGACCAAGGAAGAACACGATAGCGTAGTCGGATGGAATAGTATATTTGGATGGTTATGCCAAAATACCGATGCGTTCCAACTAACTGGCTAGAGAGTCGAATACGAGCAATGCAACGTAACACGACAGCGTGCCAAATGGCGAGGATGCTTGACCGGGTGCCTTCAGCTTAGCGAGTCCAGTTAAACTATCAAGGTCAGCATCAATGTCGAAGTCGTCAAACCCTAGGCTATTGATTTTGGGGAAGTGTATGACGCTACAGATCACTCCCCCCCTAGTGGGTTCGTGAGGACCCTAAGACGATACCAGCCGGAAGTAAAAACCCAGTGGTTTCTCCACTGGTAAAACTCTTCCGATGGGCTCACTGCGTGAGGTGGCCCCTGGTTGTCTGAACCTTATTCTAGGGTGTCGTGGCGATTAAATAAATAAAATACAATAAATGAAATTGTACGTCGGTCGCGGTCATCTGTTCCTTTCGACGTTCCGTCCAGTGCTCGTTGCACCTGGAATATAAATAAAAGTCTTTAATACCACGAAAACGTTGCGTAAAAATGGGAATTATTTATATATAAACGTGTCGAAAAATAAAAATTTACGCTTATCTTCGCCGTTTTTTTTAATTTTTATTACATGGTAAATAAAAATTGATATAAAAAGGCAAAGTGTACGAGGGTTTGTGCATTGCCGGTAAATAAGAAAAATAGTGCCTCGAAAAAAAATGGTTGGCACACACACAGCTAAGTTGAATATGACTTCAGGTACTCTGGGAACCTGACGGTTCGACCTGATCGTGTTTTTTGTTGCGCCGCTGGTTGTTGCAGCTGTGCATTACCAGGCACATCGTCGAGAATTTCGATAATTGAGTCATCCGTCGGTCGGATGTAGCGAGCTGAAACGTCACTTACAATGGGGTTGCCTTCGAAATAAGCTGGTTTCAAACGGTCGATACTGACAGTATCTTCGCGTCCGTCTCGCTCAATTACATAGAATTTCTCATGTCGCTTAATCACTTTGAACGGCCCGTCGTAGGGTGGTTCAAGTGGTCGACGAACAGCGTCGTGGCGAACAAACACGTGTGATGTCTTCTGTAAACTGGGGTGGACGAAAACATCAGTCGTTTGCGGTCTAATCGGAGAAGGCCTAACTGAACGCATTGCGTTTGTAAGCCTAGTCACGTAAGATGCCCTGTCGGAAACATGTTTGAAAGTTGAAGGGGAAACAAACTCACCTGGTAGGCGAAGAGTGGTCCCATAGACGAGTTCTGCAGGAGTGCATCCAGCATCAACTTTCAACGCGTTACGAATACCTAGTAGGACTAGAGGCAGAGCCTCGGTCCACTGAGGTATGTTTGTAGCTGAAAGGGAAGCTTTCAGCTGTCGATGGAAACGCTCTACCATGCCATTTGCTTGTGGATGGTAGGCTGTCGTTCGGAACCGAGTGCAACCTAAAAGTGCCGTTAGAGCGTGAAATAGTCCGCACTCAAATTGGCGCCCACGGTCGGTTGTGACGTAGGATGGACATCCGAAGTTCGCGATCCATCTTTCGACGAAAACACGAGCAACTGTTTCGGCAGTAATATCTTTAATGGGTACTGCTTCCGGCCATCGTGTGAAACGATCAACACAGGTGAAAAGGTAGGTACATCCATTAGATTCTGGTAGGGGTCCTACAATATCTATATGGACGTGGTCGAAACGCATGTCTGGGGCTAGAAATGAGCCTAAAGGGCTTTTCGTGTGTCGCGTGACTTTACACTTTTGACAAGCTAAGCACGACTGGGCCCACTCCTTAACGTCTTTGTTCATCCCAGGCCAGCAGAAACGTTGTGCGATAAGCCTAATGGTGGCTCGTACACCTGGATGAGAGAGTTTGTGCAACGTATTGAAGACGTTGCGTCGACAACTCTTCGGAACTATTGGGCGTGGTTGACTAGCAGAGACATCGCACAAAATTGCATCCTTGTCTGATCCAACAGGACAAAGTCGCAGTTTGAGAGTTGTGGACGACAACTCATGATGCAGCTCAAGGTCTTCCTTTTGACGCCGAGCTAGTTCAACGAGATCAATACCCTCGATATAGTTTATCGAAGCTATTCGAGATAGTGCGTCGGCTGCGGAGTTGTTTGCTCCAGAAATGTGGCGGATGTCTGACGTGAACTGGGAAATGTAATCCAGCTGTCGCGACTCACGAGGGGAGTATTTGTCAGACGCCGAGCTGAGGGAAAACGTTAACGGTTTGTGGTCTGTGAAAATAATGAAATCACGACCTTCCACAGAATGTCGAAAATGGCGTACAGAACAGTACATGGCTAGGAGTTCCCTACCAAATGTACTGTATCTTGTTTCCGCGTCTTGCAGCCGCCTCGAGAAAAAGGCTAACGGTTGCCACTGGTTGTCAGTCAACTGTTGCAAAACTGCTCCAATTGCTGAATCAGATGCATCAACAGCAATACTCAGAGGAGCATTGGGGTCATGATGCATAAGCATGGTTGCGTTCGAAATGGCTTCCTTGACTTTGGAGAAAGCAAGTCTAGCCGCGTTGTCCAGAGACACGAACTTCGCAGTTCCTCGAAGTAGATCTGTGAGTGGTCTCATGACAGAGGCACAGTTAGGGATAAACCTTCGGTAATAACTTACCAGGCCATTGAAAGTGCGGAGATGTTTCACAGTGGTCGGCTCTGGATAGTTTGTGATAGCCGCCACTTTATCTCTCAATGGGCGTATACCTTTGTTGTCAATGGTATGCCCAAGGAAGCTGAGTGATTCAACTCCTATTTCACACTTCTGTAAGTTAACTGTGATGCCATGTTTTTTGAGTCTTTCGAATGCGAGGTCCAAATGTTTAAGGTGTGTTTCCTTATCTGGACTCGCAATTAGACAGTCATCTATGTAGACATGAACAAAATTCAGACCACGGAAGACGTCGTCCATAAAGCGTTGGAATGTTTGTGCTGCATTCCGAAGACCAAAAGGCATGCGCAGGAATTCAAACAGGCCAAAAGGAGTAATAATGGCTGTTTTCGCGATATCTTCTGCTGCCATAGGTATCTGGTTGTACGCTTTGACTAAGTCGATTTTCGAGAAAATGTTCATGCCGCATAAGGTTGCGGTCAAGTCGTAAACGTGGGGTATAGGGTAGCAGTCCGGAGTTGTTTTGGCGTTAAGCCTTCGGTAATCACCGGTCGGACGCCAGTCGTTGCTATCCTTTTTGGGCACCATGTGCAATGGCGATGCCCAAGGACTGTTCGACGGTCTGATAATGCCCAGTTCCAGCATATGGTCGAATTCATTTTTCGCCGTTTGCAGCTTATCGGGGGCTAAACGGCGAGCTTTGGATGCCACAGGTGGACCTGTGGTTGTGACGTGATGCATAACATTGCTGGTTATGCACGGAAGAGTGTGTTTCGGTTGTTGTAACTCTGGATATTTCTCCAGAACTGCCTGGTAGGACGCGTCGCCTGATTGTTTAGTCCTAACGATGGCTAAACTCGGACCTACATAGGTGGTGCCGCCAATAGATAACTTTGTGTTGTTATCTATCAGTCGTCGACGGCGAGCATCTACGAGTAGATCGTAATGGTTCAGCAAATCTATGCCAATGATGGGCATAGAGACGTCTGCCAGGAGGAAATCCAGTGAATAGGTTTGCGTAAACCTAAGTTGAGGTAGGCATACCGTCTCCCGAATGTCGCGATTGCCTTGCCGTTGGCTGCTTGAAGATTGAAGGATGGGTCGAGATGACGCTCCTTTGTCGTTGCTGGAAGAACGCTAACTTCTGCGCCGGTGTCGACGAGGTAGCGGACTTTCGTTTTAATGTCGGTGACGTAGAGCAAACGGCTTTTTCCGCCGGCTACGGTTGCCGTGAGCACGTGCCGGCGTGACCGTTTCCCGAGTTCGTGTCCTTCTTAAAACGGCATGGTTTACGACATTTTCTGGCTTCATCCCCGTAAGTGTTATGAAACCAGCACCATTCAGGGTTTTCCACCCTGTTGGGTTTCGTTTTAGGGCTACCACGCGACTTGCTGCGATGCGCCAAGGTGCGTTTCTGTGAAGTGCTACGTGATCTAGGACTTCGAGATCGTAGCAACCGTTTCACAGAGTTGCACAACTTGGTCACCTCCGAATCCTGGCGCTCTGTTTTGTCGCAGATAGAATATACGTTGGAGACGGGTCTGCTGGATATCTCCAGTATTTTATCTGCTGAGGCTGCCAGGTCGTCGAGTGGGACTGACTGGAGTGTCACCAACACGGTTTGCACCGGTTGTGGTAGTTTCGAGAGAAATAGTTCTCGGAAGAAACCATCGTCAAATGTTCGTGCACCGATTACTTCTCGCATGCGTGCGAGGACTTCAGTAGCTG